AATATTATATATATATATATATATATATATATTATATATATATATATGTGTGTGTGTGTGTGTGTGTGTGGGTGTGTGTGTGTGTTGTGTGTGGTGTGTGTGGTGTGTGTGTGTGTGTGTGTGTGTGTGTGTGTGTGTGTGTGTGTGTGTGTGTGTGTGTGTGTGTGTGTGTGTGTATGGTGTGTATGTGTGTGTGTGTGTGTGTGTGTGTGTGTGTGCGCGCGCGCGCGTCTGTGTGCGGGGAGGGTATAGTATGCACATACATGCACTTATATGCACGCATTTATGAATCCACATTATTCAATTCCGCGAATCGGGCAATATATTGCGTACGCAACCGAGTGGTGTCATGGCCTAACGCGTCCTGCAGCACGTATCATGACTGCCCTGATTGCGAGTTTTGCGCTTGCGTCTCCCAAACTTTACTGGCTAGACATGAGCTTCAGGGACTTAGGCAATGAACGTCACTGTTTTGTGATGCCGAACAAGTGTAATGATATTCGGTGAGACTAAAAGTGATGTCCATGGAGTTTGCGATGCCTAATTTTGTTTGCATTGTGCCAGATGTATTGCATGATTTATTTGTCATCATAGAACATGGGATATTTCTGTAAGAGAAGGCCGTCATATAGTACATTCATATTTCATAACACGCAGTGCTATATCTAATGAGTTGTTATTACGATGCCGCCCCAAATCAGAGTGTATAACCGCCTTAGTCACGGGCGTCACCCGCTCAGCGGCGGGGACCTCAATCAGTTAGTCATCCCTAGTGACTATGCGTGGTATGGTTGGTACTAGCCTGGCAACCAGACCAGACCAACCTGACCAGTCTGGCAGCCAGACTGGTGGTGTGAATATCTCCCGCTACATTCAGCGTGGGAGACGGCCCTTTTAATGATCTCAGAAAATGCATGAGTAAAGCATGGAAAATTATTTATCGGGCTATTTCACGAGTTATTACACCTACATCAAGGCACCTCTAGGGATAATTTGGATACGTTACGGATCATTCGCAAGTGCAAGTAGAAAGTTCTTGAAACACTTCTGATCGCTTTGGCGCATGAATTACGTTGGTATTTTCCTCCGTCAAGCACCTCTTCCTTGGTGAAAAAGTCGAAGCAGGCCCGCACTTTCCTTGCCCTCTGCCCCACCCCATACACGAACCCACACAAGCGCCGTCCGACCGACATACCCATACACAGGACGATGACCGACATCCGTCCAGCGTCATCACATGATGACATCTCATTTTATCTTATTTTGACAACGAATCCTACTGAGCCTATGACACGCTTTGTTGAGTAAAAACGTAGATGCGAGACGTGTTTTGAGATTAGAGTGCCCCAAGCCTAGGAAGGAGACCTAGCATGTCATAAATCAAAATCATCGGATTTCAACCACTTTGTTTGGGATTTGGGAATGTCTATTCCATGTTAATGTGCACTTAAACTCTGCGCATTCGCTATGCTGGAGAGCCAAAAGTTGGGTGCTCAGATTTGCTGCAGGCGCTGCAAGAAGAATATAAACGGAAGTCTCCCCCCCCCCCACACACACTCAAGCCATGCTGGGTCTAAGTGTTGTTTTTTTAGGCGTGGATACAGACTAAGCGGCCGGCTTTGTCAAGGCATCACATTTGTCATGAAACGATACTTAAAGCGAAATGCACACATTTAGTATATTGAGAATCATGTTCCAATAGCCGAACTCGCACCAAATCACATGCTTTCCAAATGTAAGTAGCAACATATGAAAAACTCCCCGTTGCAAATGCAGAAGTCATGAATCACGCTATAAACCGACAGATGTGCTGAAAGTATATCTTTCTAAGGTATGCTTTCCTATGGAAAGTATACCTGCTACTCTTTCGGTAGCAGACTATTTTTTTCATCTTCCTCCTGTCAGAACCTTGGGCTTAGCGTGCTAAATGGTCGTGTATTGCCACTGACCACCAATACTGACTACTGACGTGAATGTCGCAACACCTTAACATTTCCGGAATGAGTGAGCAGAAAGATGCACGCTGGGCTAGAAATATGCCACGCAGCGCCGATTCTTTAGAAATATTTCCGACCTCCAGAGCTTTGTGAGGGACGTCATATCTCAGCGATTTGGTGCAGCAGCGACACAGCCGTCCTGCCAGCTCACTGGGTAGAGCACCGGACACCTGGGTACTTACATCCCAGACTATGCGGGTTCGCGTCCCAGAAGCCGCGATTGTTTGCTTGAATCATCAGAGGTGGTCAACTGGCCAGCGTCCGTGAGGGGGTGACGGGGTGGGATGTGTCGGTCACAGGTCAAGGGTTACGGGAGAGTCGACATAGGCGGCCGTGTCGGGGTGACACACAGTGTGGGACAAAATATTTCGGCCAAATTACCCGTCACGCAGACACTGCTCTTCTGTGCCGATGGGGCTTTATGTCTTTGCACCAAGCTGTGCTCAGCAAGGACTCTGACCCAGAGTCACCGCTACGAAACATTCGATCAAAGTTATGCATCAAGTTTTGAACAGAATAAAAGCATGCGTCGCGGAGCCTGGATTTCCAATATTTTTCATTCTCAGAGCTTTGGGGACATTGTCAGAACTCAGCGAGCTGACACAGAAGGAGCTTGAACAAGCCAGCTTGAAGGTCCTACGCTGATTGACCTAGGATCAGTTATGATGGCCCGAGCGCCTTGGTAGGTGCCCCTCCCCCCCCCCATAGTGAAGGGTGTGCTTCGCTAACCGTTGTCCTGACCTTGCTAAGATGAAGTACATCAAGAACATTGCTGAACTGATTTAACGCCTGCTCTCCGGCACCAAACAAAAACACCAGGGGTCTAGAAGGGGAAAAAATGCTGGCGACGTCCAAAACTTTCAAGGCCTAGTCAAATGTATATCATGACAATTCAAAGAAGAAGCCATTAAAACCAAACATTTATGTTTTGAATGTTATTCTCTTGTGCACTTCGTTGTATTATTTAAAGTATTGAAAAACTTCAGGTCGGCACGAAACCTGTACAAGAGGAGCTCTATTTTAAACCGCAGCCTATCTTTACATCTGGAATGCCTGCAGCTGCATCACATAATAATGGCACCTGTGGCACACCGTTGGCAACACCGGCCTGCAGTATACCTGAAAAAGTGGCGCCACTCGTCACGCATGACAGAGAATGGCTACCTAGTCGGGACTGAGTCTGATTTTTGCTAACTACAAGGATGCGTAACTCTCACTTGCTCGGTCAAGGTGGTCGTGATACAGCAGCTTTGCTCCTTTTTCACGGAGCCATGCGGTCCCGGTGCCACGTATGCCGAATAGAGATCGCGAGGCGTGATAAGCCACACGGTCGTGCTGGTACGTCATGCCTTCGCAGCACAACACTCGAAGTTCACAGCCTTGAACCGGACACAGATGCCCGAGAAATGCGCTTCTTTGACGCGTCGCCAAATCTGGACTAGAAATACGTTGACTTTTGCTCCCGATGAAAACAATAACTGTGTGCCGAACTCTTGGGATGCCTCTCCGAAACTCCTGGATGTGACCTTTGTTGTCCGTCGTTGAATGCAGCTAACGGTGCTTAACAACTAACGTCGCATCAGTTTTGGATACTTAGCAGCTGCACAGCAAACACTGGGAGACAGAGCATGGTTGGAGAGGCCAGTATTATCTCTGTCCCATGAACGGCGCGGCTGTGTGCGGGTCGGCTGAAGCTCACCTCCGCTTCTGCACGGCCGACAACTGAAGGTCACACTAGACCGGAGCAACGATGACCCGATGACACGCCGACGGCGCGCGTGACGCGACAACGTCAAGACCTTGTCACCCGGAGGACCTTTCCATCAGCAAGGAAGCCCGGAGATTCAGCAGAGCTCATCGCCTGGAAACAGCACGCCAACATTTGGCAACAATGATAAGCAGAGAACAATAGTCTTCTCAGTCATTGTGCGCTGGACAATTGTGCTTGATACGGAATGAGAGCAGCGCATCTTGATGCGGACAGTCACCGAGGAATGTGTTTGTGCTGAATACAGCAAACTTTGCTGGATAGGAGGTCTTGGTCTGTGCAACAACGTTTCGCTCCTTCGACGGTAACATAAGTATCTCCCTAGATCGCTGCTGGATGGTTATATGTCCTCCAGTCACCGCTTAAGATCTTACAGATTAAGCTGTGAGCAAGTTTAAAACAGCACAGTACATCTGAAAAGGACTATTTTGCAGTTGTATGGGATTTTGAAGTACGGTAACCTAGTTGAAGTCTCGAACAGGCTCCTTTTTTGAAATTTGTCTGCGAGTTGTCTGCCGAAAAATCCTCATCAGACTAAACAGCCAAAAAAAAAACTAGTCAAGCTGCCAGAAATGAGAACACCATGGGTCAAATGCTCGATCGCCAGCCTGCGCTGACTGTCGCTGATTGGTTGAATGTGACATCATGCGCAGCATGACGCAACCTGATTATTTTTTCCACTCTAAAGTTATAGTACTTTCCGAATGTTTTGTCAAAACGCATATAGCCTGGCCACGTCTAGTGAACGTTGCATAATCATATTTTGCCTTTTTATAGACCTTTAAAGTGAAACTTAGTAGTTGCTTGCTGGAGCCTTAGCAATTTAATATGTTGCTGAAATGTTGTGAGGCAATTATGGACTTGTAACTTTTAAGTACTACAATGAGCGAAACTTACCACTTCTTAGTGAAACATTTCCTCCCTAAGGCATGTGGCATGGAAACATGGACCGAGCCAACCCAAAAAGTTCTCCCGTCGCAAATGTCCGTAATGAGCACAACGCTCAAATTTCCAAAAACATTATTTCAATCTTAGGAATCCCGAACACTTCAATCATTGCACGTTTGCGTTTTGCTTCCGGCAAAACGCAAAAGTGCAATGTTACGCTACGAAGTAACGCTACGCAGTAGTGACTAAACGCCTCAACACGCTACCTTAATGAAAATCTACTACATGTTTCTTGCCTGCAATTGGGCTCATAATACTGCCACTGTTTCGCAGAGCTTTTCCGTAGGCAACAGAAAATGTATTCCAAAACTAAAAGGCACCCAACGAATCGCGCAAGCATGCTGTTATTTATTGATAGGTAGTTACATACCCTTCAAACTATGCCATTTCTTTCACACCTATTTGTTGCGCTTCTGTACACCTCAGACTACGATTTTGTGTCCCTCACGCTGCGTGACGGGTCTGCACGCGCGGGGCGTGGCGGCGCCATGACGCGCGGTTCCTGTGTTGCAGCCGCCCTCCACGCCGGGCTTGAAGGTTCTGCACATTGCCGACCTGCACCTGGACGAGCAGTATGCAGAAGGTGCCGACAACAGCTGTCCAGAGGTGCTCTGCTGTAGGGCCGAAAACGGTACGAGCTCCACAGGGCCGAAAATGGTATGAGCTCCACAGGGCCGACAATGGCACGAGCCCCACAGGGCCGACAGCGGCACGAGCTCCACAGGGCCGACAGCGGTACGAGCTGCACGGGGCGAACAGCGGTACGAGCTCCACAGGGCCGACAGCGACGCGAGCTGCACGGCCGACAGCAGTGCGAGCTTCACAGGGCCGACAGCGGTACGAGCTCCACAGAACCAACAGCGGTGCGAGCTCCACAGGGCCGACAGCGGTGCAAGCTCCACAGGGCCGACAGCGATGCGAGCTTCACAGGGCTGACAGCAATATGAGCTCCACAGGGCCGACAGCAATATGAGCTCCACAGGGCCGATAGCGGTGCGAGCTTCACCGGGCCGACAGCGATACGAGCTCCACAACGCCGACAACGGTGCGAACTCGCCAGGGCCGACAGCGGTACGAGCTCCACAGAACCGACAGCGATGCGAGCTCCGCAGGACCGACAGCGGTGCGAGCTCCACAGGGCTGACAGCGGTACGAGCTCCGCAGAACCAACAGCGGTGCGAGCTCCACAGGGCTGACAGCGATACAAGCTCCACAGGGCTCACAGCGGTGCAAGCTGCACAGCAAAGCCGGCTTTAGTCTGATGCGGCGGCTGGGCGCCCAGCTCTGACAGCAGCGACATGAAACATCCTGTGATGAGCTGGCTCGCCCGGCCACTGCTCAGGGCTAGCCAGGATTCAAATAGCACGATATCCAACCAAACAGGCGCATGCGTGTTTAGATTTCCTCACCGCCAGCTGTGTAATTCATATCAGCGCCTCAACTGGGACGTGAACCCGAGGTCAGAACGGTGGGCATTGGCAAGCTCGGTGCCGGCGATTGGACCGGTTCCTGTACCTTTGTCGCAAAAGGGCGGGCGTCGTGCTGGAATTCCGGAACTAATAAATCTCGAAGCTGGTGAGATGACATGATTCAGATTGCAAGACATACCGGCGCGGATGATCAGCCGACGCGCAGAGTAGGCAAAGCACAGGCATTGAGTTCTGCGCGCTGCGAATGATCGGGATGGCGTCTGACAGTCTGCTCTTCGCGCATCATCAGTCAGATATGCGGAGTAGGGCGGTGTCAACGGCACGACTAAAACTGTTCGACATTTGGTATCAACAGGCGTCCTTTCTACAGTAATGAAATTCTTACTCCTCATTGCTATGGCTGTCCGAAATACCCCGTGCTGTGCTGCTATGCGGTCGAACGGTAGCTCTCTCTCTCTCTATCCCTCTCTCTCTCTCTCTCACTTCCTCTCTATTCTCTCTCTCCTCTCTCTCTCTCTCTCTCTCTCTCTCTCTCTCTTCTCTCTCTCTCTCTCTCTCTCTCTATCTCTCTCCTCTCTCTTCCTCTCTCATCTACTCTCTCTCCCTCTCTCTCTCTCTCTCTCTCTCTTCTCTCTCTCTCTCTCTCTCTCTTCTCTATCTCTCTCTCTCTCTCTCTCTCTCTCTCTCTCTCTCTCTCTCTCTCTCTCTCTCTCTCTCCTCTCTCTCTCTCTCTCTCTCTCCTCTCTCTCTCTCTCTCTCTCTCTCTCTCTCTCTCTCTCTCTCTCCTCTCTCTCTCTCTCTCTCTCTCTCTCTCTCTCTCTCTCTCTCTCTCTCTCTCTCTCTCTCTCTCTCTCTCTCTCTCTCTCTCTCTCTCTCTCTCTTTACAACGGCCGGACCTGGACTGACCAGCATGCGTTGCTGATGGTGTCAAAACCGGCGCGACCTGAGACCGGGCCGGAGGTCACTCGTGCCCGATGTCTCGCCTGACGCTGCTGGTCTGAGTGACCGCTGCCCGGCGCTGTCGGCAGGGTTTCCGTCTGACCCGTCGCGCAGGGCCGGCCGCTGGGGCGACTACACCCGCTGCGACTCTCCCTTCCGGCTCGTTCAGTCCATGGTCCATCACGCAGCAAAGCGACACAAGGTGCGTTAACTGTTTGGCATACGGCGATGTATGAAATTCAGATGTGGGGTGCAGCGTGTTCTCGGGAGCGCAGCGTGTTCTCGGGAGCGCACCTCCATCCCAAACCTCGATCGTTCTTGTCGCAGACCATCTAAAAGTGTGGTTTGGAGAGCCCCGTCGTTCTTCCAGGTTCTTCCGCCATACCATGTGGCAAATACTGCCTGCTCATTTCAGCAATATAGACAATTTTTTTATCTGAACCATCAATTTTATACTGAATATTTCGGTCATGCCCATCTGTAGCAACGACAACGTTTAATTCGCCTTACGATAATCATGCATCAGCTAGCGAGCCGGCTGTTTGTTTGGTTTGTTTGGTTTGTTTGGTTTGTTTGGTTTGTTTGGGGGCTCAGAGTGGCACGTTACGTGGCCTGGTCCCGCCTGACCCCGCCGCTCGTCCCGCCTGACCCCGCTGTCCGCCTCCTCCTCCCTGATCCCGCCATCTGGTCTTTTGTGATCCCACCGCCCGGTCCCCTCTGACCCACCGCGCGGCCCCGCCTGACCCCGCCATCCGGTCCCGCCCGATCCCACCGCCCGGTCCCCTCTGACCCCGCGGTGGCCCGGCCCTGCCTGACGCTGCCGTCCGCGGCCCGTCGTCAGGACCAGCTGGCCTACATCATGTGGACCGGCGACAACGCGCCGCACGACAGCTGGAAGACGTCGCGCCAGGAAGTGTTGTCCTCGTGCAGCAACATCACCGGCCTGCTGCGACATTACTTCCCCGGCGTGCCCGTGTTTCCGGTCATCGGCAATCACGACTCGGCTCCAATCAACAGGTGGGCCAGCCCGCTGAGAGACGGAGATCAGCAGGTGGGTCAGACCACTGAGAAGCAGAGATCAGCAGGTAGACCCGACCGCTGAGAAGCAGAGATCAACAGGTGGGTCAGACCGCCGAAAAAAGAGATCAACAGGTGGGCCAGACCGCTGAAAGGCAGAGATCAACAGGTGGGTCAGATTGCTGAGAAACGGAGATCAACAGGTGGGTCGGACCGCCGAAAAAAGATCAACAGGTGGGCCAGACCGCTGAGAGGCGGAGATCAACAGGTGGGCCCGGTCGCTGAGAAGCGGAGATCAACAGGTGGGCCCGGTCGCTGAGAACCGGAGATCAACCAGTAAGCTTAGCCGATGGAAAAGTGCGCGGACACGGCCAGTGCGTGTAGGCAAGCGATGCAGAATAGATAGGACAGCGCAACCAACGCTTGGTGTGGAGCGGACGGGACACAGGGGACTCATGTACGTTCTCCATGATTTATCATCTCAATTATCGCCCATTGTTCACCTTTCCATGCTACAATATTTTGTTGATGATGATCATCTTCTCATGTTCATCGCTCAGTCTGTCATTTAGTGTTAAAGTGTTAATGAATGAGGAATGCCTCCCTTCGGGTACAGCTTTGACTTTATAACTTTTTTACTTTAGACTTTTGACATCATGGCTTTCAACTTTGACGGATGACCCTTAGGGTGACCAATTAGCACTTTCAAGTGTAATGCAAAGTGGTAGGCATTCCCATGCCTTGGATGCATCAGGGGCCCTGTAGTGATAGCCTCCGAGAATGTCACCAGTCAAACACGCGAATTCAAGGATCGCCTTGACAAACCTTTCCCTGCAACAATAACCAGTGAATGGTCCGCGAGAATCCCGTATTTGCGGCAACAAAGCCGCCTGTGTTGACAGGCCGGGAGAATGTTTAGGATGTTGTGCATTTCGGTGCGTTAGGCGTTCCTTGCAGTCTACAACGTTCATCTTCAGATTGCATGACATTCATACCGTTTAAATAAGGTTTACGTCTCACTGGTCAGTTGATGAAAAGGGTAGCAGCTTACAACTCGGCAATCAAATCACACCACGGGCCATGTGGCGTATTGCCTGTGTTACCGCACGTCTCCATTACCCCCGACTATGACCATGTCCAATCCGTTTCTCCGGCCCTAGCGTCAACAGTCCCTCTCCCTCGTCCCTGACCGTGTCTGTCTTGCTCGGCAGCCCCTCTCCTCGTCTCTAACCGTGCCTGTCTTACTCGGCAGTCTGTCTCCCTCGTCCCTTACCGTGCCTGTCTTGCTCGACAGTCCCTCTCCTCGTCCCGAGCCGTGCCTGTCTTGTTCGACAGTCCCTCTCCTCGTCCCTGACCGTGTCTGTCTTGCTGAGCAGCCTCTCTCCTTGTCCCTAACCGTGCCTGTCTTACTCGACAGTCTCTCTCCTCATCCCTTGCCGCGTCTGTCTTGTTCGGCAGTCAGTCTCCCTCGTCCCTGACCGTGTCTGTCTTGTTTGACAGCACTTCCCCTCGTTCTCGTTTGACAGTCCCTAACCGTGCGTGTCTTACTCAGCAGTCTCTCTCCTCGTCCCTGAGCGTGTCTGTCTTGTTCGGCAGTCCGTCTCCTCGTTGCTGGCCGTGTCTGTCTTGTGCGATAGTCCCTCTCCCTCGCCGCTGACCGTGTCTGTCTTGCGTGACGGTCCCTCTCCTCCTCCCCAGCCGTGTCTGTCTTGCGCGACGGTCCCTTTCCTCGTCCCTGACCGTGTCTGTCCTGTTCGGCAGTCCGTCTCCCTCGTCCCTGGCCGTGTCTGTCTTGTGCGAGGGTCCCTTCCCTCGTCCCTGGCCGTGTCTGTCTTGTTCGGCAGTCCGTCTCCCTCGTCCCTGGCCATGTCTGTCTTGCGCGACGGCCCCTCTCCCTCGTCCCTGACCGTGTCCGTCTTACTCGACAGTTTTCCGCCTCCCGAGGTGTGGCGGGATGGCTTCAGCGTCGCCTGGCTCTACAGCGCCTTGGCCGACTTCTGGAAGCCCTGGCTGCCCGCCGACGCAGGTGAGTAGGATTGTGACTGCTGCAGCCGCCGGGCGGGGCTCCAGCTGGACGCCCCAGTGTGTCTAGCCCAGTTGACTACAGGCTTTGCTGAATGCTGGGGTGGCCAGGCTTCAGCTGTAAGCCAGGAGGAGTGCGCGAGCGTCGTGAACTCAGGCATTGCCAGCGGTATAAGTCGTGATCAAGGGACGTCAACGGCATGATTGGTAACAGCCCACGAATTGGCGCCGCAAGGATTTAATACAAAGTGCTTGGGGCGAGGAGCCGTTGTCTGATGGAGGATCCACGGTGCCGGATTTTCCGTTGGAGTTTTCTACCATCCGTAAGCGCTCGTCTTTCCTGATAGGCGTATTTGTTCCTGCTTTCTTGATATACTGTATTTTCAACTTCCCCTTGTTTCTCCCACGATAGCACAGGAATGTTTGATTTGTCATGAGCTTGAATCACTATGGACGCTGGCCCCGGCCAGACTGGTGGTCTGTACACTGTATAGACCGCAAGCGTAATCATAGAGGTCGGGGAGGTCCATTGACTCCCTTAAGAATTTTTGCGTTAACGGAAATGCTAAAGCCTTTCACCCTCTCGGAATCATAGAGCCCTCCCGATGATCTCTGGTGGTTTTGAGACATCCATGTACGATGTAGCACATTCCGCAGGTTTCTTTAGATCCTCATGTCCCTGGGATCCAGCATCAAGGAACTTAGCAGGGACGTTTATGGAACGCGTCATGACGTCAGCCTCGAGTACACATCTAGTTAGGCTACCTGAGAAACGCTGATAGCGCAGCATCACTTTATTAGCAAAAAGGCATGAAAAATGAAAACAATGTTTAATGCCTGAGGTCTTTTTTGTGTTATACCCAGAGCTGACATGTTATTGTCATGATATTTGTCCGCCCCAATGACTAAACCGGTCACAGTGCCTGTCTTCCGCTTTGTCTACCACTGGCGCGCTATATGACCGCGCAGTCGAAGCGACCGCGACCCTTGGCAGGCTGGGGTTCGTCGCTTTACGCGCCTGTCCTTTGCTCTTGGGTGGGATAACTTGCGGCCGGTGGCGTCGGCTGCGCTAAAGGTCGACTGACATCAAAAGACGGGATAGACGATGGCTATGTCGCTTGCAGTCTTTCATTTATGGGAACGCCATGCTTTCAGCTAATGTAACGTTCACAGACCGGTGTACCTGCAGCATCGAGTCGAGTGCATTGTTATCCGGCCATGTTCTTAACACGCATCAAGGACAGGCTGCGCTGCTCCAGAGCTGGAGGGACCTAAACATGTGCATCGCCCTTCCACGTCATCTTAAGTTGAATGAGGATTTATCATCACCTGTATCATGTCCGCGTCATCATTCAAAGTACTGACAGAGGCACGGAGTTAGTGTGTGTGTGTCCGTCTATAACAGGGTAGGTATGGCTTGTCGAATAAAGACACGGTAATGTTCGTTGTGCAACTAAGATGCTTCTTGCATTATCCGTCATTTTTTGTTTGTGAAGCCCTTGTCGTGCGGCACCTGTCACGAGAGGCGAGTTTATTTCAAAATCAGCCGGCTGCAAACATCTACTGATCATCTTTTGCGGTTACACTCGGATGATCTGTGCATGCGTGTCAATCTATTCGTGCGCATCGTTTTTTATATTCATTTAAAGGAGGTGTTTTATCTTTTGGCGTATCTGGTAGCCAGAAAAGTGCGGAACGTGTAAAAAGAACTGTTGTCATAAAATATTCACAACATAAATTTTCAAACCGAGAGATTAGACCCTTGCGTCCTACTGCAAAAGGCGCCCACTACGAGACGTCATGTCCGTTCACTGTCCATTGTTTGAATGTCCTTTCCAGTGGCAGTTCTTCAACCGTACATTCTTTGACATTCGTAGTTCGTCGATTACAAAAACAGCTCTCTGTATGACGTTTTCGACAAACGTCATTCCTCAAATAAATCGGAGCTATATGGACGCAATCTCAGACGACGGCAATGATACTTATTTATTCGCAAATTGGTTAAGCAGTGTTTTGCACCTTTTCCTTACTTCATTGCCGTCATATAGGTGCCTCCTGTGACGATGGGAGCAATGGACCTCTATCCACACACTTAATAACTGTGTGCTTGTAAAAAAAGACCGAAGGGAGATGTTGTGCGCGCGATGATGCTTATGCCACGGCCAGTTGCCGCAGCAAAGCGCATTTCGTTCATCTGCCAATCACACCCCCTCCGCCACAGTATGTCGTCATTGCATATAATGTCATACTAGGCTCGTTCTATGAATGGCATGTACCGTAAACTAATTGCTTCTGAGCTAAGGAACTGCAGACATGTCGGGCTCTGATAAAGTTGTTGTGAATATCTTTCCGTGCGCTACGATCTAGCTATCTCAGTTCTCAGCATCATGAGAGATGGCATTCCTGTTCACACCCCCGGCGCCCCATTTTCCTGGCGCATAACCCACAGATCATCCAGTATCAACAGTATGTTTGACTATGCGCCTAGTATTCGACTTTCATATGTTGTGTGGGCGCCACGTCCAGTGATTACACATGGAAAGCCCACCAAAAGCACTAGCCACTCTTGCATGCCTCCATCAGGATAACCGGTGCACTGGTTTCCGGAGTGATTCACCGGCGCCAAATTTCCGTTCATTTGCCGGATGCGCTCCTCCGTGGGCGGCGTGAGCGATTGAAGTCAGGTGTAGTCGGGCACCGAAGGTTGTCGCAGTCAGAGAAATATTTGCCTCCCTCCCCCCTTCCCCCCCCCCCCCGACAATGCTTTCACTGGCCTCGGAGCGAGGTGGGGCGAATCAGACCAGGCGCCAGCGCCGGCTGGCTCGAGCTTTCCGCCAGCAGCGGACAGCCGTCTTCAGCCCGCCCCGTCAGCTGCTCATAGCACCGCCACACAGGGCCATCGGTCGGCGACGGACAGCCGTCTTCAGCCCGCCCCGTTAGCTGCTCACAGCCCCGCCACACAGGGCCATCGGTCGGCGACGGACAGCCGTCTTTAGCCCGCCCCGTCAGCTGCTCACAGCCCCGCCACACAGGGCCATCGGTCGGCGACGGACAGCCGTCTTCAGCCCGCCCCGTCAGCTGCTCACAGCCCCGCCACACAGGGCCATCGGTCGGCGACGGGCAGCCGTCTTCAGCCCGCCCCGTCAGCTGTTTACAGTCGAGCCTCGCCACGCTGAGCACGCCGTCTACTGCATTGGGGGGGGGGGGGGGGATGTGAACCGAATGCTGTTGGTCGATTCTAGATGAATTGGCACCTTAGCCACCAGTATTTAGACGGGCAGCTACGGACGGGGGGGGGGGGGCGGGTTGGCGTTTGCCCATACAAAGGGGCCGTAGGTCACATGAATGGTCACTTGACACGTGACACATGAGGTGTGCGGTGGGATAAGGGGATGGGGGGGGGGGGGGGAGAAGCGGTGCGGCCTCTTCCTCGCCATCCGGGGAGTCAACGCTCATAACAGATACCACGCGGAAACTCCGTTTTTGGCCGGGTGTAGTGAATCTGTGACCATGAATCACGTCCAAACATGGGTGCACTGGTACAAAAAAATCAGGTCGTTTTAGCGGGTCAATTAACACTCTGCACTTTAGCGCTCTAACACTAATGCGTCACAATGCTCCAAGAAACAGCATGTGTATGGTCAGGTCAGCTACATAGGACTACATAGGGTTACATATATAGGGTTAGGTCAGTATAGGTCAATTACCCCCAATCTGTGTCAACTCTACAAAAGGGGCGTGCCAGAATGTAGTTTTTGTTGTAGTTTTTGTAGTTTTTGGAGATTCATTTTTGGACTGTTTAAAGGCACTTATGAGATTGCCTCATGACATCCCAAAAACTTCCATATGAGATAATTTACAACGCGGCCATTGGCCGCGTTGAATTTATGAAAAAACATACCATTGGTCAAAGAGTTTTATTTGTCCTGAAAGACATTTAGAATAGCCACACCGAAGCCACTTCAGACCCCTCGCGAGGCTGTGTTGAATACTGTCTTTTTATATCCACAAGAAACCACAGGAAAGTCTTTCTACAAAATGGGCAATGCTCTGACTAAGGTGAGACTGTTTTTAGTAGGCATTCGGAGAGGTGAGCCATTGCACTGGTTCCATCGAGCTCAGTCTCTGCCCATGGGCTCCGGTCACCACGCCGGCTCCAGCTGGAACAGCCACTGCTGCACCGGTCCTGGCGTGGTTAGCTGTCACGCTATGACTGGTGAGGCTGCCTGGCATGTGATGGCTCTCACGAGACCTGAGTTCTTGCTGGCTTTATCATTACTTACCTTTTCTGTTCATATGCCCTTGCAATGCGTGATCTGTTGTCGGTAAACTAGTTGTGCACAACCTAAGCGCATACCTTTTAAATTGTGCATTGCCGACCATATCATTGCATTTCATTTTGGTTCCATTGTCTAGCACGTTCATCAATTATGCGTCCAAATTACTCTTGTCTGTATGAAAGGCATGCACGGCTTGGCAGACTTTCACATGAATATAACTATTGGGTTTATCCCACTCATAGCTATGGGCTTTGTATGCTATGAAGGGTAAAGCCCGTTTCGCGAATAAACTCAAGCGTTTTATGAGGGGGTTCGCTGGCACGCTCAAAGACATCGTGATAGCAACATCGACGATCAACTGCATGCCAGTAATGATATTTGACGTTTGAAAAGGCCACCTTGAGAACGAGCTTTCTGCCTCAAACCAATGTTCTATAACAACGAGCTTACGAAGAACGAGCTCACTGCCTCAAACCATCTTCGGACTGAAATGTATACAACATTACTTCAGATTTCGTAGCCATGGCGACCACACGCCGCGCTGATTACGCGCTGAAGACTCGTACATGGCTTGCGGCCGAAAGGTCCTTGTTCACCTTGGCTTTGTTCAAATGTCTCTTAAAGAGTAATTGGCACGCAGCTGATCATCTTTGTCGTTGCAGAAAGGGGCCTAAAGATTGTCACTGCGGCTGCTGAGTGTTTCAATCGCCTGTGGAGTAGTAGT